TGGGAACGTCCGAAAAGTCCCACGGAAATCCGAAGCTTTCTAGGATTAGCCAGATATTACCGACGATTTATCCAAGGCTTTTCTTCGATAGCCTCTCCATTAACAGCTTTGACCCACAAAGGAGCTACATATATGTGGAATGAGAAGCATGAAGAAGCATTCGAGAAGCTGAAAAATAAGTTATGTGAAGCACCAATACTTTCTCTACCCGATAGAGTTGAAGACTTCGCGGTATACAGTGACGCATATGGAGTTGGGTTGGGTTGTGTTCTGACCCAAAGAGAAATGGTGATAGCATACGCATCTCGACAATTGAAAGAGCACGAAAAGAAATATCCCACTCATGATCTGGAGTTGGCAGCGGTAGTATTTTTCTTAAAGATATGGATGCATTACCTCTACGGCACGAAGTGCAAGCTTTTCACTGATCATAAGAGTCTTCAGTATCTCTTTAATCAGAAAGAATTAAACATGAGGCAACGATGATGGTTAGAACTACTCAAGGACTATGATTATAAGATACTTTACCACCCCGGTAAAGCAAATGTTGTTACTGATGCTCTCAGTCGGAAAGTCAACCTTGAAACGAAAAGGCCAAGAGTGTTGAGAATTGAAGTCATCTCGATGATTCTGAAAAGTATCAGGAAAGCCCAAGAAGAAGCTTTAGAGAAGAATGACCGAAAGGAAGAACGTTTGGGCAAAACGTTAGTGTTCGGTACAAACAGTCGAGGACTGAAGGTATTCCAAGATCGGATTTGGGTACCTAAGACGGGAGAAATAAGAGATCTTCTGATGGAAGAAGCACACAACACCATGTACTCAATTCATCCTGGTAGCACTAAAATGTATAGGGACCTAAAACCCTACTACTGGTAGCCGACGATGAAGCTCGATGTTGCGAAGTATGTGGCCGAGTGTGTAACATGTGCGAGAGTCAAGGCACAACATCAAAAACCGTATGGGAGTTTGGAACCTTTGCCTGTACCCATGGGTAAATGGGAGGACATCACCATGGATTTTGTGACCAAACTGCCCAAGACAAAGAGCGGTCACGACATGATTTGGGTGGTCGTGGATCGTTTCACCAAGAGTGCACACTTTAAAGCAACCAACGAGAAATGGTCTATGGATAAGCTCGCAAATGCTTACGTGAAGGAAATTGTATGACTTCACGGTGTTCCTCTTATGATTGTATCAGATCATGATAGCCGTTTCACATCGAGGTTTTGGAGGAGTCTACAAGAGGAGTTGGGTACAAAGTTGTGTTTGAGTACTGCTTACCATCCGCAAACTGATGGTCAGAGCGAAAGAATGATTCAAACATTGGAAGATATGCTTAGAGCATGTACTCTTGAGTTCCAAGGGAATTGGGACGAGCACTTACCTCTGGTAGAATTTTCCTACAACAACAGTTTCCACTCGAGCATCAAGATGGCACCTTATCAAGCCTTTTATGGGCCTCGAGATAGTCCATGAGACTGCGGAGAAGTTGAAAGTGATCAGAGAAAGAATGTTAGCAACTCAAGATCGTCAAAAGAGCTATGCTGACAAGAAAAGACGACCGATGACCTTCGAAGTTGGGGATTCGGTTCTTCTTAAAGTCTCATCGTGGAAGGTACTTATACGATTCGGGAAACGAGTAAAGTTGAGTCCAAGGTTTATTGGACCGTTCAAAGTTCTTCATAAGATTGGGAACCATGCTTGCAAGCTGGAATTGCTCGAAGAACTCGATGGTATACATAACACCTTCCATGTGTGTTATCTGAGGAAATTCACGGGAGAAGTTCCCGACATAATTCCAATCTCAGAGTTAAGGATGGATGAGAATACAAGGTTAATCGAAGAGCCTAAGGCAATTGTTGACCGTAAGACTAAGAAGTTACGACGCAAGATGGTCGACTTAGTTCTAGTCCGATGGAAACATTCAAATGAGCCAAATCTCACTTGGGAAACAGAGAGTGACATGATGAGTCACTATTCATATTTGTTTGGTGATACATGATTCCGGGACGAAATCATCCTAAGGGGGAGAGAATTGTAATGTCCGAGTTTTAGGGCTAAGAATTTTTGACAATGTAATAGTCTAGTTCAACTATTGTAACTCTTTTTGAAGTAATAAAGATGAAATATTTGAGTATTATGTGAAATTATGTGTATTTATGTGCTTATTATTTAATTATAAATGTATAATTAATAAAGAATAAAAATAAGCGTCAGAATTAAAGTATGAGATAAGTCTGATATCTTTATATAAAGTTGTAGTAGTCGAAACAAGGATTCCAGAGATATAAAGAACGCCGAAATCCGAGTTATAACGAAAAAGTTATGACCCGTTGAGGTTTCGCGATGGAACCGACACGATACTGGGAAGCGTAAATAGTGAATTTACGATAGAGTGAGATTTAGCCTTAGCGATCTAAACGAAAGTCGTAGAATACGTTAAACCAAGAGATTCCATAAAACGAACGCCCAAATTAGGGTTAGGAAACCCTAATCTCGAAATCTATAGCCTCTTAGGGTTTATTGGCTATAAACCCTAGTTTATCAAGTTCATACATTTGAATATACTAATTGAAAACAAGTAAACCAATGGCTCTGATACCACTGATGGGTTTTATATAAACAATCCTATGTGTACATGCAACCCTAGCTTTGGATCGATGTTTTCACTATTAGATATACAACATTATGAACACAAGAATAAAACCCTAATGTACAATGCTATTTTCAAAATTCACATATAAGGTTAGATCACATACCTCTTGTTGTTATATTGTAATAACAACTCAAATCTCCAAAAGATGATGTAACAACTTAACATTACACTTGACCATACGAACTACTCTTGACCATGACCCTCATTAGCCCCTCCACCCTCCTGTTGACCTACACCTTGACCTTTACATGTCCTTTTGTTGTGACCTTTTTGTTTGCATTTACCACAAGTGACACTCCCAAATTTCCTACTAAGCTTCTCCACTTCTTTGGATCCTTGAGTTTGACTTTGACTTGCTATCACACTTTCAATTTGACTGGACTTTTCCTTTTGGCTCATTCTCTCCTCCATGGACTCTCTTCTTTTCTTCTTTGGCCTACCATGCATTTTGTGGTATGGAGGTGGGATAATTCTAGTAGGATAATCACTTTTAGGCCACATTGCCCTACCTTTTAAAGGTTCAACTTTAAATTCATATACAGCCTTCCAAGTATCCAGTAAATAAACTTTGTGTACCCAAGTGTACAGCTCCCCTACAATTTCCCCATTGTCTGTTAACTCACTCCAAGTGGCTATGGCATGCTTGCAAGGGATTCCTGTCAACTCCCACTTCCTACACGTGCATGTCATCTGGTTAATTTCCACAACATGTTAATCATTCCATGGTCCAACTACCTGATAATTTCCACCACCATTCCACCTTGTAATATACTTAGCTGCTTGTTGCTCATTCTTCTTTAACAATTTGGTTGTAGTAGGTGTGAGAGGACCTTGACATTTCCTTTTCTCTTTAACCACATTGCAGATCCTCTTCATTAGATATTCCCTTATAAATTCCAAGCATGTAATGATTGGCTTGTCCCTTCCTTTCTCCAACTTACCATTCAGAACTTCACACATGTTATTTAGAAGCACATCTGAGATGGCCCTACCTACACAATTAAAATCATTAGCCAATAAAAAATAGTTGCATATGAAGTAATAAGATAAATTTTATTTACCTGTAAAATGGCTTCTTTCCCAATGCATTGGTGGTATTTGATTCAACCAATCATGTGCAGCCCTGTCATACTCAGCTAACTCCTTCATTGTAGATTGAACTCTTGAACTGTGGTTGTTGTTGCACACCTCCAAATAAACTCCTTGTACTCCCTAGCTTTCCACTATTTCCTCATGTTTTCATGGATGTGTCTTAAACAATACCTCTGCTCTGCATTTGGAAATAATTGTGCTATGGCAGGTATCACACCCTAAAAGTAAATATAAGATTGAATCAATACATGTTAATTATAATATTGTAAAGGCGTTATGCATAAATAAAGAATTACCTTTTGCATGTCACTGATAAATGTGAAGTTAGAATTAGACCCCATCTCCAAATCATCCCCTAGACAATCCAAGAACCATTTCCAACTTGTAGTATTTTCATATTCTACTATGGCATATGCAAGTCTAAGCTTACAGGAATTAATATTTGCCCATGATAATAGCCTTTCATAAAGGCACCATCTAGACCAAGAAGGTCCCTCATACCAACTTTAAACCCCAACTTCAGTGGGCCTAAACATATGTAAATTCTCTTAAACTGTCTAGTGGCCAAGGTCGAGTTAGGCTCACTTACAACATCTATCTTCACTGTGGTGTTTGCATTGGTGTACTGTAATTCGAGTACATAATCTCTAAGCAAGTCATACTGCTTTGAGTAGTCCCCAACAACATTCTTTGTAGCCCTTACCTTAGCCCTAAACATCTTATGCATTGAAATCCCCACTAAGTATGGCTGCTAAAAGTCTTCTTGTAAGGCTCGAATTGGAACTTTGGGGTTTGATTGAACTTGTCTACTAATATGTTTTGCAAGAAAAGTGTTGTGCAAGCTCAGATTTTCCTTAATTGAAGGCAAGTGTGCTTCAGACTGTACCTTTTCACATACCAATTCCCAACTTTCGAAGACCTAGATGCATATAAGTGCCAAGTACAAGTAGTAGCTTGTGAATTTACTACTTTGCCCTTGCCTTTATTTACTTTATCTGCCCCACGTAACACATAGGACCCACTTGCACCACTTGTCCCACCATCCACATGTGGCCCACTAACATTGGTACCAGGCACAACTCCTTTGCAGTATGCCCTTAGTCTTTTTGCATCATTCTTTTTAAAAGCAAGATTCCTCCTTGTTTCAAGTGCATGCTCATCCACTTTATTCTTAAGATTGTTCTTTGACTTCCACATCTGTCCCACATAAAAACTAGATTTATGCACCTCACCATGTGAACATCCTTTTTCCTTACCCCAATTGTTTTAATAAAACCCTCCTGTTCTTTTCAGTATCAGAGTCTTCTCCTAATGACTCCCATTCATCACAATCAATTACTTCAAGGTCTTCTTCTTCGTCTGTTTCTTGTTCGTCTTCTACATCATTGTTAAACCCAAACCCATAATACTTCACACCTTCATCAATGTTCATTCTAAAGTCACTCATGTCAACATCAATGTCATCAACCTCATTGTCTATGTCTACTATAACATCACTATCATCATCACTGTAATCATCTTCACCCTTTTCTGAATTGAACTCGTCTGATTGACCATCAAATAAACCCCTATTATCTTGATCAAATTCTTGATATTCAATACCAAGGTAGATTGTTGTAAGGTCTGTTATGTTGTTGTTTTCACTATCATGCAACCCTTCAAATGGATCAAAGTCTACATTCAACATTTCAATTAAACCCATTGGTACATGCACAGTTGTTGCATCAAGCTCATGTTCTTGTTGTACTTCCTTGTCTTGATTATCTCTTGTCACGCTTGATGGTGCTTCCTTGTCTTGATCAACCCTGATTTCACTTATTGGTGCTTCCTTGTCTTGATTATCCTTGATTTCACTTGATGGTGCTTCATTGTCTTGATTATCCCCTGTTTCAGTTTCCATGTATAACCTCTTAGAACATGACCTAGTACCCTCTTTTGGCTTCCAATTTCTTGTTCTCCTCATTTCTGGCGAAACTGATTTTGATTCACCTCCATAAATCACAAATGGTAATGATGAACTACAACTTTCATGTTGGGATCATGAACTATTTTTTGTTTTCTTTGTTTTGGTTCAATTGCCACTTCATCTTCTTGATTTAGTTGTTCAATGACAACACCTTACTCTTATTTGGTGACATGAAGTATGTAACCAAGTTGGTTGTGTCATGCTCAATATACACCTGGATCACCTTGTTAGCTCCAGTATATTTAGCTAGGTTACACACATCTTGATCATTACCTAGAGCTCTAAGGCCAAAAATCAAGTCTTCATTGGGAATCCTGAAGTGATAATATATTACTGGGGGAACCACGTATCCTAGTTCTAGCATCATAGCGTCGAGTTCATGCACTGAAAACTCGTCTATATCAACTAAGTCAATATACGTAACTTTCCCCTTAACATATCTTACATTTGGAAAAGGTGTGAACTTCCCACCATGACGAAGTTCAATCGTGAACAAATGGGGATGATCGACTATCCCAAACAACAAAAAATACAAAATGTAGTTAGCATATTGTGTGAAATTTCAAAAAAAAATTAAGTTTAAAAAGCTATAATAACATTCACCATACAACTCAAGTGCATCAAACCCCATCGTCAAAGGACGTATAGTCCACAGTGAGTGCACCATTTTTTCCTTCTACCTACTGGAGTGCAGTTCAGCTAAAGAAAAGATTCGGGGTGGAAATTGTTGACTTAGAGTTCGAACATCAATGGAAATTGAACGAGGAAGAAGCTTGAGTGTCTGATCTTTTTAAGCATCGTTAAATGCGCGGTAATAGATGAACATTCCCCCCATAAATGAAAGGACAAAAATACCCTCGCGTGCATGGCACGTGGAGAAGAAAACGGAATGCCTCTAACGGCAGTTCGATGCGGGGACCAAATCTACAGCTCAAACATAAAAAAATGACGTTTTTTGCTAGCAAACTTTTTTTGGATCTTATGCACAGAAATTGGCAAACCACATGGACCATTTTTGCAATTTTGTCTTTTGAATCTATGGGTTATGAGTTGGCTAAGGAATGTAGTTCTCTCATTTGGTTTATGAGAGATAGGGAAGGAGACTAAGGGTATGTTTGGGTTATTTTTTTATTTTAAAAATGATTTTTAAGAAAAGTGTTTATTAGCCTATGATTTTTAAAAAAAAAAAACTGATTTTAAAAATTGTTTAGATAAGAAAACCTGTTTTTCCAAGAATAAAATGATCAAAAATCTAAAAAACTAGGATTTTCCAGTTTTGTGAAAGCTTTAATTTTTTCTATCAAAAAAAACTTTTTTTAAAAACACTTTTTAAATACACAAATATATTTTTAACTTATTAGCTTTTTAAAAAGCTAAAAAACTAATAATTTTTTTAAAAAGCTATCTCAAACTGTTACTAAAAATGGATCATAAAGAATGATTAATTTTATATGTATCCATAATCGTGTATCCGCCTATGAATAGATGAGTGAATGTCATATGATTTGACAATTTCTAGATACATATAATAACACTTTAAAAATTGGTTGAGAAATTTCTTTGATTTTCAATTAAAAATACTGAAATAAATATTAAAAAAAATAAAAGAAACACATTAAAAGAGCAAAATAGTTTTTAAGAATTTGAGAACTAAATCTACATATAAAAAAATCATATTTTGAACCAAATTTACGGTTTACTTTTTAAAAAACATTAACAGTTACCTTAACTTATATAACACAATTTCAAAAATAAATATCAAATAGAAAACTTTTTTTTCCCAAAAATACAAACATTAACTATAATTAGGGATCTACATGCAATTTATTCAAAACAAAATAATTGTAGAAAATATCTTTATTATTATTTTTTTTACCTTTTATGGTTCAAAATATTTTTTTTCAATGGCTTATAGTAGACTTCTAAGCATATTACCTCTGTCTCCAATGAATTTGTTGGTAACAAGCTACCAACATAATACGATTCATTTGCATAGTACTTATTGTTCACTGTATAAAATCAATGCTAAACGATAAAAGTGGAAAATAAAAAAAAGATACAAATAAGTTTGAATGGTGAAGAAGAAAATAATAATCAAAATTAATTTAAAAAATGTACAAAACACTTATTTATGCAATGGAAACTATGTTTGAATGGTGAAGAGGAATATAATATTCTTTTATCAGTTATGTTTTGTTTTTATTTTGTTTCTTTAACAATTGGAAATACAGAAAAAATAGTAAGATTTTAAAAAATAAACAATTATATAAGACTGAAAGCTAATTTTGGATTTTTAATCAAACAACTCCATTAATTTTATGTTTAAAATTTAGACAAAATTGCAAAAATGATATTTATGGTATGTATTTTTTTGGGGTTTTAATCTAAACTTCGACCTTTTTAGATTTGTGGTCTTTTTGACCATGTTTGCTTGTGATATTGGTCACTAAAAAAAAAAAAAAAAAAAAAAGAAGATAAAATTGCAAAAATGGTCCCTATGGTATGAATTTTTTGGGAGGTTTAGTCCAAACCCCGACTTTTTTGGATTAGTGGTCATTTTGAGCAAATTTCTTTGCGAATTTAGTCCCTAGGGAAACTGAAATTACTGCAATGCCCTTCTGATTTATTTTTTTATGTTTTTTTCTATTCAATTTAAATGAAAAAATAATTAATTAATTAATTTTGGGCCCACACACACTCTCTCTTTCTCTCTCACACACACAAAAAAAACCACGTATCTTCTTCTCCCCACCTCACCTATAACTCAAAGCCATTAAAAATCAAATTAGTAAAAAGGATGATACGAGAGTAACAAAAATGGTGGTGTGTTGCGGTTTATCAAAAAAGAGAAAAGTTTTGGGGCTTGATTCGTTTTTTTTATTGATAGAGCTAAAGGGGGAGATGGAGGATCTATGTCTCCAGGTGACGAATGAAAGTACAGAGGATCTATGTCTCCAGGTGACGAATGTAAGTATAGAGGGTTCTTGATGAGTGATTTCAGAAGGAGGCGGTGAGAGGGGATGTAAGTTGAAGATGAAGAGCAAGATTACGACATCGGAGAGGTTCGTTGATTTGGACCTGGAAGAAGAGAAAGATACGAGAAGTGAGAGAGAAGAAAATATAAAAACATCACTCCTCCATTACTAGCAGCTGCTTGACAACCTCTCCGATAAGATCTTAAAAGGTTTTCTGGTGATCTACTATGGTTGATTCATGGGTAAAAGGATAAATCAAGATGTAACTGTTATGTGTTCAAGAACTTATCATAACCTAAATCACAAATCGAAGTTGCAGGTGGTGGTTCCAGTGTCGTAGATGCTGGTGGTTGTTGCAGTGGAGGCCGATGACAACTATGATCGGAGGTGTTGATTGTGGTACAAAGGTGAAATCGATTCCTCCATTTTTTTGCTTAAATTCATTTGATCTAAATTGTAGGTGGGTAATTATGGGAATATGCTTATATAAGTTTTAAAACCTGCAAAAAATGTACAACTGAGTGAATATGCAACAGATGTATTCGGAAGGAATGGGAGTGGATTTGGTTCATGAAGCACACCAAGCGATGAGAAAACCATCCAATAGAGCGATTCCAAATTCAAATGGGTTTACATACTATTTTCATGTTATTCACTGTGTGTGTATGTGTTTCAAGTTTTCAGTGTGTGTATTGGACCCAATCAAGTGTGTGTATCGAATCGATCAAGTTTGTTCGTGAATGGAGATACCAATATCTGATCAATTTTGTTGATACATACTTGCAGATATAATTTTGATTTGGGTGTTTTTCAATCGCAAACACTACCTATCACCCTCATAGATCCACCGCTCCACCCCAACTGCCTTTTCATTTACATTATGATTTTATTTTGAAAATCTAGTTTTCTCTAGGTTATTGAAGATTGATTGAGCATTGAAGAAAAGATAAATGGGAATCCATGGTTGCAGGTGGGTATACGAGAGAGAGAGAGGGAGAGAGAGAGAGAGGGGTGGGTCCTCTATTATTTTTTAATTGTTAAAATAAATATTAAATTTTAAAAAAATGAAAGGAAAATGAAAAATAAATACCCCAAGGGTATTCTAGTCATTTCAATTTTCGGAGGGACTATTTTCACATACAAACTAGTTCAAAAGAACCACAAAGCCAAAAAATTCGTAGTTTGGACTAACACCCCAAAAAAATGCATACCACAGGAACCATTTTTGCAGTTTTGTCAAAACTAAAATACCCTTTCTGATATATTTTTTGTATTTTTTCTATTTAATTTAAAGGAAAAAGAAAATAAATAACTAATTTGCTCTCTCTCTCTCTCTCTCTCTCTCTCTCTCTCTCTCTCTCTCGGGATAAGAACATACTTCTTTCTTCTTTGATCGTAACAAAGAAAAAAAACACTATTTTGAAGAAAAACCCTAAACCACTCTAGACCACCATCGCCACACACTGCTTCTGGAGCCCTTGAACCAAATCGCCGCCACAATTTCAGCCTCCACCGCCAGAGCACGTTCCGAATCCTACCCCCACGGATCGATTCCTCAAAAGTTCATCATCAACAGATTCATCACCATTGTCATGGTTACGATGTGGATTCGTTATCCTCCCCTAAAAAAGAAGTTCGATTAGAAGAGAATAAGGGGATGGCAAGCCCTTTGCATTTTGATTCCTTATAGTTGTGATTCTTTGCGTTTTCGATTGAAGAAGGATATGGGTACTTACAGATCTGGACAACTAAGAAGTGAGTGAAACAAGGTTGAAGATGAAAGGAAACAAGAGATGGGTCAATGAAGATGATTATGGATTTTGGATTTTGGAAAACAGGTGTGAAGATGAAAGCTCAAACTCGATTTCTTATTTACCAATCGGAGGTTGCATTTACGAGATCAAAACAAAACAAAACAAAACAAAACAAAACAAGAAATAAAAAAAATAAAAAAAAAAAAAAGACTTGAAAACCAAAATCCCAAGTGCTTCAATGGGTTTGTACCTTTGTTTCTTAACTTTCCTCTGAATAATCGAACCCAAAAGAATGATGAAAAGAAGGTGGAGGAGAAAAGAGATTAATTTCAATAGAGATGACGATCTTAATTCCCCACAGAGAAGAGATATATGTACTGGCAGGGGCGGAATACAAGCAAGAAAACTAGAGGGGCCGGAATCAAAATTTTGAAACAAAAGTATATAACCAAGTTTTATTCATACGAAATTATGGCATATCAAAGATTTAAAACAGAAAAAACAATATAAAAGATTGTTAAATCGTTTATCATGGTGGAACTTGGCAATCTTGTTCATTTTTAAAGTATTGTAGAATTATGTCTAGACTAATGGATGTATACAGAATTTAATTATTTTCATATCATAATAATAAAATGTATATACAAATTCTAAATAATATTTTAGCATTTCCATTTACATTGTTCTAATAAATCAACAAATAATAATTCATAAACATATGAATTTTATATGTAAATGGATTCTACGGTGAATAATAAAGTTTAACTAATAATTAAAACTAAAGAGAATAAAAGATATATCTTATTTCATTAAGTATTACCTATCTGCTTTATAGGATCTAATCATAAGAATTAGGTGGTGTTTTCTTCTTTTCTTTTATCTTATTTAGTTATTTATGTTGAGTGTTGTATGAATAGTGAGAGAAAAGAAATAAATAT